CATTCCTGCACATCCCGGAGGCCTAGCTGACGGCAGCTCCTCTGCGCAGGCCCCACTATCACCCGTTGGCTGAACTGACTGCTCCTACCCCTGCGCTCCCGGCCCTGAACAGTTACCTCCTTCGCTGCGCAGATCTTGTTCTTTTATATTCAGTCCTCCACCAAGGACAGTTTGGGAGTTTCTCAAGGACAAGCACTTTTCCAGTCTTTCCTGCAACCGAAGGCCTCTCAGCGAACAAATATTCATAAAGTTTGAAATGTTTAAATGGACGAATGCACTCAAGAGGCGCAGTCCATCTCAGTGAGCTGGGATTCTCCCCTCAAACCCATCCTGCCACTTTGTCTCCCCTCCTCCCAGCAGAGCCCTCCGCCCCGCTGCACCCGACCTCCTACTCCCCTCTTTCCCAATCCAAGCGCTGGGCATCGGAGGGCCGTGGCCACGGCAGACGCCAGAACGCACAATCCCGGGCACGTTCCTGCCCCACCTGTCCACGCTCCAGCCGCGAACAGGGTGCGGTGGGCGCGGCCGCCCTTCCGGTCCCCGGCAGCCCTGTGGGCCTACCTTGCCCCCTTTGCTCAGGATCTGCCAAGGCCAAGTCTCTACGCTCCCAAACAGCGAGTTCTTGATCATGCCCAACATGGTGTCGCCGCGGCGCTCTGGATGCACGGGTAGAAGCTGGGTGGCCGCTGCAGCTGGCGTCAGCTGGTCTACCCGGAGTGGGTGGAGGGAGGGCGGGGCGTGACGGATGGGCGAGACGAGCGCGGGGTGGGTGGGCGGGGCGCCTCGGGCTCCGCCCCTCGGAACGCGCTCTGGGAGGTGGGACTCGGCGGGAGGGGCGGAGCAGGGGCCGCGCTCTGTCTCCTCGCGGCCGCCCGCCAGGGACGCGTATCGGTGGGTAAGCCGGTCGACCTCTGCTTGCGCTGCCTCCTGTACTGACTCTGACCTCTTCCCTGGCGGCCTGAAACAGATGCGCCCCGGTGTGGGATTTAGGCAGCGGTGGTGAACACCCCTCTGCCAACCCTCCCAGACTGTCCCCCGCCGTGTCCTCTCTCAGGTACCTGGGCGCTAAACTGCAGAACTTTCGGATTCCTCGCGTGCTTTGCCGGGCCTCCACCCTCAGGCCCTGTCCCCAGGCAGGTGTTATATCAGTTTCACAGGCTTTGTAGCCGCAGCCCTTAGGGACCCCTGGCTGCTGCATCTCCGCCGACAGATGTCCTATTTTGCCCTCTGCCCCTGCCACCTCTCATCCAGACAATTGAAAAAGCATCTTAACTAGTTTTCTACTTAGCACTTTCTTTCTCCAGCCCGTTTTAATCACAGATTCTACGTTAATTTCCCAAATCATAGCTTTGCTCATTCACTTCTTCTGTTCAAAACCTTCTAACCAACTTTATTACCATTTATTGTCTGCTCTCCCTGCCAAATACTTTACAAATACTCCCTCTCCTCCTCACAGCACAAAATGTAAGTATTTTATAGTCATTTTACAAAGGAGGAACTGAAACTCAATTATGACTTTCCCAGTAAAGTGACTTTAAAAGAATAAAGTGACTTTCCCAAGGTCAAAAACCAGTGTGAGGTTTGGTCAGCATTTGAATCTGTGACTGTGGTTCAGTGTCCATCATGCTTTTGTTGCACCCCCGTCACCCAGACTTTTATAGATCTCCATACACCCTCTGAATTCTGCCACTGTGCCACACTGACGCCTCCATCAGGACGTCCTCGCCTTCTAAGTCACCCCTTGAAATTCGACTTCTCTGAAAATACAACTTTCACTGTGTTTCCAGGAACAATGTGCTCTTTCTGTCTGAACTCATTATACCATTTTATTTATTCAAATGTTCTGTCCACACGAGGGTTCTTTTTGCACATTTCCCCACTGGTTACACTGTCATCTGAATTTGTTAAACTGTTAGCCTAATTTGTGCAGACTGCCTTGACCCAACGCTGAGGAACCTCTTGCTGTGCCTGCCTCTGGGGAAAGAAGACCTTGAACCTGAGCCAGACAGTAGGAATCAATAATGGTGATACTGATGACCTCCAGTTTTGTGGTAACCGATATTAACTTTATTACCTACGGATAAAACGATTTACTTTTTGGCAAATATTTGTTGATTGCTGTTAAAGAAATGGCCATTTAATTATTTTATATTTTCTTGGCTCTTATATAAGAGGCTATTGATTATAAGAGGCATGTTATTTTATGTGCTATTAAGATAGCAAACAACTGCTAACAAGTAAGCTGTGATGTTCAATTGATTTTACAGCATCCAGAGATAATAAAATATGAAATAGCATATGCAGCTTACAATTCATGAGAAACTATGTTGCTTTGTAAGAGTCCCTGAGTATTTTTGCTGCTCATAGGTATGTCGCTTTATTACAGACGAAGCTCTTAAAAGGGCAAAGATCTATTTTTCTTTAGCCTCTTCCTCTCTCACCACACTCAGGGATTGCTTAACAACTGCTGAATGATTAACAAAACTGTTCTTGATATTAGAGCTAATCATTTATTTTAGTTACTAAACTAGGTACAATGAAATGGGGCCTAATTCTCCCTGGCGTCACGTAGCAAAAGCATTTGGAAATCAGAGGACATCTGGTCAGAAGATTACAGGCCTCAGTTTCTACACCTGCAAAGTTGGGGTAATAATGTCACCTCACAGTACTGCAGAGTGGATTAAAAGAGCCTGTCAGGCACTTAAAAGCACTGTGTGCACTGTTAAGGGCTAGACTGTCTCCCTCCCCTGGTTGGGTTGGTTCTGCTACCAAGAATGAACCTGGCTACTTCAAGAGCATGGCATAAATGCAGCATTTTAAAGCACAGATTATTAGGTATTTTCCTTTATCTAAAGACTTTGATGTGGTATGAGACACTTTCCTTTGCAATTTATTAGGTATTATGATTGAATAATGTTCCGTGTGTGTGTGTGTGTGCGCACACGCGTGTGTGCTGTAGGCACATGTATGTATGTATCTGTAGACAGATGTACGTATTTTTGCAATAGTTTTAATAAAAATATTATTACGATGAAGCAGAATTTGGTAGGAGAGAAATAATAATAACTCATACTTATTGAGGGCTGGGTATGAGCTGGTAAGCATCATAAGTGCTCTATTTGCTTTATCACATTTAACCTTCACAGTAAGCCTAGGAGGAAGGTACTATTATTTCCCCAACATGGCAGATTAGGAAATTGGGACTTAGAGAGGGTAGGTTATCTACCTAAGAGCAGGCAGCTAGTAACAAGCCTGTGCTTTTACTCAAAGCTTCTCTCACTGCCTAGGGCTATCAGGGCAGGAAGTTGAACTCCAACTTTCAAATCACCAAGTGCTGAAAATGGTGGGAAAAAAGACACCAGAGGACTTTACAGTTAATCAGAGCAGTTGCTGCAACTCTTGTATTTGTTTCCTTGGAAATGATACCAGGG